ACGATAGGAGGGTCGCCCTGTTTTTCGACATGCTCTTTGCTGCTCTGCATTTCTTTGTTCCAGTTATAATAAGCAGAACAATGCAAATCGTTAGTTGTGAGAATGTTTTGAGCATTATCTTCTCAACTATTTATTCTAGAGAGGAGCTCAACATGCTCACTTTGCCATGAACTTCAATATGTTCATTGCTGGATTTGTTCAAATTTTTCTGCCAGGAGGAGTACAGTTGCTAGTACCAGACAATACGAAAGAACAGGCAAGTTTGATTACTTGGGAGTGTATATCTTTTCTTCATGCCACTTTTAGTGGGCAGTACTCTTTTACGGATTGAGTGCGCTTATTGTGTGCACATCAATTCTTTACGCAGTCTGCGCTCAAGCACATGCAGCTTCTTGGACAAAGCAAAGGACGGAGTGGCGAGAAGGAACTCGAGTATTTCCCGCAGATGCAGCAAAGATTGCTTGTTGAACGCAATATTCAACGTAAAATTGAATAAAAGTGTGCTACTTGGAGGAAGTGGGTTTAGTAAGAACTAAAAGTTCATAATTTATGAAACAGGTTGTCTCTTAAAATTCTCACCAGAAGTACAATTGGAGCTTCATGATGCGGTTTTGTAAAATATTGTTTTCTCCAATACAGAGTACTAAATTAGTTTGCCATGATCAAAATTATTTGTATGAAAACAGAATGTTGGTTTTTTCGTTTTCGTGTTTGAAAAAACTCAGCGATCCAAACTACCAAGACTTGTTGTTTTTTTCAAACGGTCAAAATTATAAGTTCAAGGGATGTCTTAATCAAATGTCTCAAACGAGGTACCATAAAGGAGCTAGAGTAAGAGTCGACTGAATATTTGTATCTTGTAACAACTTTTACTAGTTTGAGAGCAAGTTTCTCGCACATTAATAGGAAAATGCGCAGAGAATTTATTTATTCACCTTATTAAAGAATATTTCACGCACTCTTGCGAATTTGTCTCATTCCGGTCTATGTCATTTAGGCTTTCATTGTCATCACAGCAAAATCTCGAAGCCCGGAATAGCCGAAAATGCAAAAACATATAAACCCGATGGTTTACTTATTGTCCGTGAAGAAAGAGAAATTCTATAAATATTTGTAAGATTGGGAAGTACATTATAGCTAGAAAATTGTTTCTTTCTTCTCATATATGATGGCACATGCTGCAAAAATTGCGTTTTAGTTTGAAACTGCACAAATAGAATAAAGGCTGCAGCGAAAGAGTTTTAGTCTTATGAGTGAAGTCGATAAAACGCATGTTGAAAGCTTTGTAGGCGCCTAGATACATATCGCGCATTAAGTGAAGCGCAAAATTGTGATTGCCCTAAACAGATCAGAAAATAACAATAATCGAGTGGTACAATGTAGTGATAACTTCATACACAAAATGAAAGCACGCAAACTGAAGGAGAACCTGCGCGGCAACATTTGAAACGATCATTGGAGTGAACATTGATAGAACACAAAGATAGCCAAGGCAGAGCAAATAAAAGTACGAGACCATGATGTACGGCATAGGAACAAAAATTTGCTTTGAAGCCGATGGATGAGGAAGGGTTAAGATCTGACAAAAGATATTTGCCGGCAGAAGATGTCAAGACCTGAATACTCGAATGGCATGCAACAAGCAGCAGATATCTAGATTTTAGTTTGCTGCGTTAGAAAAATGATGTTTCGAAAGAATGCTTTTGGAAATAAAAGGGTGTAGGTAAATTTCAATTGATTCCATGCTCAGACTGTTCCTCAGTACAAATGAACAAAATAGACGTCTTCTTCGCCATTATGCAAGGCAAGCTGGAAGCAGCGCCACCTATTATGTGTCCCAAAATGTGACCATTTTCCAGTTTTTCAATGCCTACTTTATTTCCATTTTTTT